ACAGGTAATGTTTCGTAAGCCCAGAATGTACGAAGGCAATGTCCTCCAGCATGCATGTTTAACAGGCCTCCCATTTGATTTACAATTTTATGGCTGCTAAACCTAAAACAGAAAGGTATATGAGTCATCTACTTGTTTCTTCCAATAGCCCAAAATCCCAAATTATTTCGGGATTTCCGATTTGTCCCGAAATCCATAAACTATTTCGGGATTCCCAAAAATTTGATTTGGAATCGGTCTTGAAATTGGAATTCCTGAAAACTTCGGTTTGGGAATCGGGACAAGGATTTCAGTTCGGTATCTCATATCGAACCAACCCTCCTCATGTTCGACCTAGCCTCAAACCTTAGAACTTGAATTAGGGATGTTCCTTGAATCCCAAGCCTTGGATCTCAAGCATAGATCTTGGACTCGAGACTGAAACCCAGGACTTCGATACCGAAGTGATCCAAACCCAAGCACTAAATCCATCTTTTGAGCCATAAACCCCAAACCCTAGCGTTAGAGATTGAGTCATACTTTTTTTTTAATAAACAATATTATCTATATTAAAGAGGTAGGGAGTGGGCTAAGTCTCACAATGGGCTAGCAATAATGTGGTTCAAATTCGTCTTTGGTGAAAATCAAACTTAAAACCTCACACTTACAAGTAGGCCTGACAATTTCTAATACAACCTGTTAATCCGACACGAAATTAACAGGTCATCGAGTTAACATGATAACGAATCGAGTCATTATTGGGTAATTCGATAAGCACCTGTTTATATAATGGGTTGGTCCATGTATACACATGGGTACCTCGATACACTATAAGCAAAATATTAATTTAATAATTTTATACCCCTAAAAAACTATAACAATTATATATATATATATATAATATTATAAGGAAAACTAATAAAAGTCCTCAAAAACTTTAGTTTTTAATGAAAATGACAAAACAAAAGTGTAAGTGAATAGTACCAGGAGTGACTTTTCAAGGTAAAAAAGTCCTTAACGTTGAACGTGAACAGTATCGGGAGTGTTTCATTTAGATTTCCTATTATATACTATAATAATTATATATATATATATTATTAAATTAAATTTAGAAAATTTAGAAAATGAGATAATACATTTTTATAGGTACAGTACTATTGTTTTCCTCCCACGCTCGACTGCTAAACTCGCCAGATAGCTCCAGACGCAGTTGTAGACGCGGGCCCAGCATGCACATGGCCTCTTATTTTGGATTTTTTTTTTTAAATTATAAGTCAATTGTTAGAATTTGAACTTGGCTTAGATTTAATGTTTGTTATCCTTCTCTCTTGCTCCTTCTCTTCCTCCCTTCCTCCATAGCCTCTATGTGCTATTTGCATGTTGAAATAGGGTTTTGAGAAATGGGTTTTAGCCAATGCTTCCCTCTCGATCTTGTTGGAATTTTGACAAGGAAGAGAAGAAGAAATATTTTAACAATTTGGTAAAGGGAGCTCTTGGCCATCCCTCAAACCTTCTGTTTGTATTTTCACATTGGAGAAAGACAATGTTCTCTCTCAAACACTTCCAGCATGATACTATCCCTTTGGGGGTAGTAGATTAAATCCCCTCCCCCCACTAAAATCTCCTCCAACCTTCCTAAGTCCACCGGGCTATGGGAAAGCCCAGTTAGTCCCCCATACCAAAACTGCTTAGCCTAGTCCCTAGGTTATGTGATGTCACGCTGACGTCAATTTATATTAAATTATCAAAAAATCAATAGAAATTAATTAAAATACAAAAAAATTAATTAAAAATACGAAAAATTATTATTTTTTCTCTATAAATACTTGACCATGTTCTTCCACCTTACATCACATTTCAATATTTTCAAATACTTTCAACTAATCTTCATGATTATCCTCATTTAAAATAAAATGATATTTTAATATTTTAATACGAATTTCTTGGTGTTAGGAAGGCTGGTGAGGTCGTACTAGTATGTGAGAGTGAATATCCACCAAGTAAATATGAGAGCTAAATTTTACCAATTAGACCTGACAATTTTTTACACGACCCGTTAAAACGACACATAAACGACACAAAATAATAGGTTTCGGATCAACACGATAACTAATTGGGTCCTTAAAAGGCTACTAAGGTGAAACGAGGGTAACCTGTTTCGACACGTTAAAAGAAAAGTTATTTTGATGATTTTAATTTTTTAAACTACTAAAAAATCTTACTATAAAATACAATAGCTATAGTGTATATGTATATATTGTATATTAAATATGTATTATTTTATTATTATTCTATATAAATTTAAAAAAAATGACTTATTTATTTATTTTTATTGTATATTATAGGCAAACAGTGAGATTAAAAAATTATAAAACACATTAAAAAAAGTATCAAGTAATTTAAAAATACCAAACACATTAAAAACAAGTATAATAATTAATTTGCAAGTGTGAAAAATGTGAAAAATATGCAAAGACTCGTGATCGCATCATTTACGCTATGAGTATGGGTACATTGCCGTTTGAATTTTTAAAACCATACAAACCCTCATTAGTAGTATTTTTAAGGGAGTTCAAAATAAATAATCATTAATGATAAAAATGTGAAAGCATATATAAACGTGCAAAGTTCATCAACCTTAAAACGCAACTCCCTTCATTTTGCATATCCTTGAACATTTGCTATTTTATAGCAATGTACTAATGATTTTTCATTAGTCTCTTATTTTGGAGTATGTAATACTTGACAATTTTTTTTTAATGTTTTGAAATAATATTTATGTGACAATATGGCATGCATATACTAATTTAGTATTATATTTTCTATTTTTTTGGGTTAAATTATGTTTTTCATTTTCATTATTTATTGATTTAAAAAAAAAATTAACGGGTAATAGGTCGGATCATATTACTTGATAATTTTAACGGGTTCATTTCAGGTCGGATCATATTATCCATTTACTTTAACGGATATTACATGACACTGTCCGTGAAAATATCAAGTATGACATGAAAACAACACAAACACGAACAACATGACACGAATGCCAGAAACCGAGGCAAATTAAAACAATATGAGTTCAAAACTAAGACTGAAATCGAACAAACTAATTAATACCATTACCACAAGGAGAAAAAGGACACAAATTCACTCCAGATATCGATAACCCTGGTCTTGATCTTCTGTTGCTTTCACCACGAGAAACCCTTGGCTGCCTCGTACAAATTACAGGGCCACCATCAAGAAAACAAAGGCTCCCCACTACAAAAGTAGCTTCTCCATTGTGAGGGGGCATACCACGTGTTTCTGTATATTCGTCGATCTCTTCCTCTAAATCAAACAAACGAAGACCAGGGTGCGACTCACTTTGAACGAGAACCATTTCACCATTTTTTGAAAACACCAAAGGTTTGTAACGATTGCAAAGATGAGAACTACTTGAATAGCAAGGTCCAAGATTCTCTAGCTCCATATTCCTTCATAATCCAAATACCGAATTCGCTGTTGTTATAGTTACTAATACAAACACATAGATAGCCTCCCAAGACCTCCAGCTCAATCCTGACATCCAAAATGCCGTTGACCGGGCAGTAAAACTCACCATATTTCTCAGTGGCAAGATCAAGAGTTAAAATTATGCTCATATTGTTATCAGACATCACCCAATTTAGAGCACCGTTTGAAAATTGGATTTTCGAAACAAGTTCAAGGCCTTTGGAAGGCATGCTTTGGATCTTCTTCCACAAGTTGGATTTTAGGCTGTAAACATGCACTTCATAACTCAAAGTAACCCAATAGGGCCAAGAACCAGGCCATTACAGGATCCCAATATCGATATTTCACCCCAGCCACGACGTTCAACCAACGATTGCCAAATTTCTACAGCTGTGCTGAACGAATCGTCGTCGGAAAGAGACAACAAAAAGAAATCCTTGGGATAAATGGTACCCCGTAGACTAAATAAAATGGTGCGAGCGGAGTTGGTGTTGATGGAGCGTTGAAGATGCCTTTTGGTGAAGCGTCCATCGCGGATGCAAGCATTCCAAGCTTTGGAAACACACATGCATCGGATCAAATCCTTGGGCAGGAGAAGTATTCGAAGAGTAGCTCCGGTGGGAAGTAGTCTGACATGCTTAGGTTGATACATGAAAGTTTGAGTCTAGGGTTTTGGGATTTAGAATTATTGATTTATGTTATCGTTCCACTTAGAGTTATATTTACGTTAAGCAAGGATTACTTAAAGTTCAGCTTCCACAATGACTCTTGTGAGTTCCCTCCCTGTAACCCTAATGTGTCGATTGGTCTTGGAGTTATTATTCAAGTGAAAATATTAAAGAAGACTAGGGAGGAAAGATGTCTTCTTAATTTCTAATTGTGGTGGAAAAGTAAAACCCACTAATTGTAATTATTTATCTGACGTTGAAGCTTCCCTTTACATCCTGGGAGCTTGCTCTTTTACTTTTCGCCAATATTTTACATGAAGGTTCAGAAAAATATTGAAAACGAAATAAGATTGTATGTGATTCAACTAGAAGATCATTTTTACAACAAATTACAAAAACAAGAAATTTGGATAAACGCCTGAGCTAGAGTTATGTTAAAAGGTTGTAGTGACTGAAAGATGATTCAGTGTGGTGGCATTTTGTATGTTTGAGGTTTCAAACTTGCAGACAATTTCCTTTGCATATACCATTAAGCTCCTAAATTTGTTAGCTTGGTGCATATATTGTCACACATGATACATCAATTATCATGCTACACAGCCAAAGAGATCATTCTCTTCTTTCACAAATTCTTGCTTCCCAAGGAACCTGTGACTTAAGCTAGAGTTCTGATATACAACAAACCATGTTCAAATTTAGTATACCTAACATTATTCAAAAATCACATGTCCGTCAATAAATGTTAAAATTTGTTTATTCTTCTTTCTTCTTAATGTTATTTATGTTTGTCTTTTCTTGAAGAGTAATGTGACAATCTTAACGATAAGCGTAGAACAAGTTCATGAGATAGTAAAAAAATATGACAGGAAAGACAAAATTCTTGTATTGATGTGGTCACAGAATCTACTCTGCATATTTCCTTTCCAGGACACTTCATTGGTGAAATGACCCTTGTACCCTCTCTCTCTCTCTCTCTTTCACACTGGAACAACAGTGATATTACAATTGTATCACAACCAATCAAACATATACTTTTCTGTAAAAACTTGGACCACAAGAAATCAACATATCATGTACAATTTCGTATTAGAACAAATAGCATCATCACCAGAGGCTTGAGTCCCAGCGTGGGACTACTCAGTAGGACAATCAGCAAGCATTTAGAAGAGTCCCGGCTCAGGACTACACGACAGCGTACTTTTGCAAGCCATTTAGCCACTACCAGTTCATCCGTTGACTTGAAGCGCCATCTTCTATCCGATGAGCAGAGCATGCGCCGATGGTTAACCTTTCTTTCCATGAGGTTTCTTGACAGTCTTGAGTTTTGTGGGAGCAAGGAAATCATCGTCCTCTAGGTCACTGAAAGATATGTCTTCTTCATTGATCGCGTAAATAGCCGTTCCACTATACCCATCTAATTCAGAATCTTCCTCTGGCCAGTCATCATCGTCATCATCTTCGTCGATATTATCTAGCATCTTCGAGGATGGACCAACTGTTAGATTCTTGTCCTCGCTCTTAATGATGGGCTTTTCTTCAATAACAGACTTGTCAATAAATGGGACTTCATCACTCTCACCTGGGTGCTTGTCAGTCTCATAAGCCGTGGGGGACATCCTTGATTCATAAGGATACGTCCTTAGCATCTTGTCCTCGTAATAAACACTACATGATGAGACCAGAGCACAATCTTCATCTAGTATATTGGAACTGTCTTTTATAAAAGAAGTGTTTCTTCCAAATTGACCATGTTCTAATGCAGTCTGACAATGTAGCTCCTGCATCCACTTTGCTCTGGCTTCCATTACCTGCGACCAATATGTTATACTACATTAAATTTCAGAAACGTAACAGGTTTGGCATGAACTTAGGCTCAATCACAAAGTATAAATAATGTTTTAATCTAAGAATTTCGGGAACCATGTAGAATTCCGAAATCCTAACTTTATTCCCAACCGGGAAGATCACCTACAACCTAAATAGAAAATTGAAGTTGAACGCCTAGAACTACCAAAATCCATGCCGTGATAATCCATCCCATGGAGGAGTTCAAGAAACTACTAGCATCCAACAACAACGAGAACTTGTGATATACAATCAAGCTGATCCTGGATAAGAAAAAAGAAATGGAAGGCCGCAATCTAGAATTGACATGAAGCAACATTTCCCACTTTACTGATGCTTTAAGTATGGTTTAAGTTGGAAGCAGAAACAAATTTAATCAATTGACTGACGGACACTAAAAGTAATTATACGAAGCTTACTTGGGGTGTAGATAAGACTTCGGCATCCTGCTTATTGAGCCTCGAATGCAGAAGAACAAAATAGACTTTCCAGAAGTAACTCTCCCTCATATGGCACGGACACAGTTCAAATCTCAAAGCAGCAAATCTTGGCGCAAGATGTTCAATCACCATAGCATGCTCTTGCTGGGCATCAGACAAGTCAAAATCTAAAATAAGAACACGTATCAATTAGGCACCAATCCCAAAACTGTGGAACTGGAAAAAGCAAGAAGTTTGTTCAACAAAATCGGAAAGACAGAGAAAAAACTACTATCAACTAGTTTTTCTGTGCAACGTAATCTTAACTCCCGTTCCAACAATTTTACAATGCAATATTTCAAATTTCCCCAACTAATATCAACTGCATTGTGCATAACATCCATCACCGCAATGGGACAAGCTATGAATCCTAAGGCACTCAACTGCCACAACCTTATGCATTGTCCTAACAAACAATAGGGCAAATTCTATGTTCCTAACATATGAATCTCCAATAGCAAAACAACGAAATTCGAAGATTAACCCAACAATTTGAAGGAGAATAATGCAATGTACATTTCAACCGCACCAAAGTTTCCACATTTCTAAGATTGACCAACGAAAACTTAGGAATACAGTGAAAAATACATACGGTATAAAATTTCGTATACATACCGCCCAAATCCTCCTCCTCGTCGAGAGGAAAGTCCAGCCACGTCTCCGGATGCATCGCGATGTTCCTGGCGAACGCCAATACCTCCTCCGTGACCCCAACGGCGCAATCCCCCTCCAATTCCTCCTCTTTCTCTTCACCTTCATCAAAATCCATCGCCGATTGATCGGGCGGCTCGGATCGATCCATGTCAGGAGGATCCGATCGATTACTGGACGGCAATGAAGGGTACGGAGGTGGCGGAGGGGGAGGCGGCGGAGCGAGGAACGACGCGACGCCCCAGAATTGGCGGGTCAGCGTCTGCTTGAATTCGTCCAAATCTTCCCTCACGCCTCGGGTTTGGTCGTCCTCGTCTTCGTTTTCCTCATCTGAAGATTCAATTTCGCTTCTTCTTCGAACGACGTCGCTGTCAGCGCTGGGTGGGGTTGGTGATCCATTGTCGTTGTCGTGGGGTACGGCGTCGCCGTCGTCGTTGAGACGTAGAGAGTCACCGAGGGAGCGAGCGAGCCATGACATTTTTTTTTTTTTTTTTTTTTTTTGGAGTTAAAAAAAATGACGGATTTAAAAAACAAAAAAAATTAAAAAATAAAAGAACAGGGACGTTTGAAAAGGGTACGGGAAAGTCTGGGGGAGGGATCGACTGGTTTTGAACTACTGGTATCGTTGTTCATGGAGCTTATGGGATAGCGACACGTGTTCATTTTTTCCCGGGTAAAACAACCGAAATATTTTTTCCGGCACGAGATGATTAAGGTAGATCGGGAAATGATTTAGGGGTTTTTTGAAATAGGTTCAAAGTAACTAAAAATTAGATCTATTTCAAAAGTTAAAAGTCATTAAAAATTGGAACTATTTTAAAAGGTAGTCTGTAAAATTGAATTTATTTCAAATTTTCCCAATGATTTTATCCAATCATATGGATCTCGAAAGCTTGAAGCCCATATTTTAATGGATTTTGGGCTTAATGTCACATGGATAAAAAAAAATTGAATTTATCCAACTACTTTTTTTTTTTTTTTTGGTCAATGAATTGATCCAACTTAAAAATTCAAAACGATACACCATTTAGTGTTAAGGTCTGGTGGTATTTATCTTCATTTGTAAGTGAGAGACTTTAGGTTTAATTTTTGGTAAAGGTGAATTTAAACAATAATATTGCTAACTTATTGTGAGACTTAACCCACTCTCCCACCCTTTTAATATAGATAATATTGTTTGTTCAACAATAAAAAAATCAAATACAACCTAAGTTCCGTCTTTAATTAGGAGAAATTTTTGTGTGTAACCAGAACATCATGAGGGATTCCGGTGTTATAAGTCACGCAAATTATAACGCGTTACCATGAGAAACTACTTCTCTATTAGATTGAATTTTATGATTTTTTTTCAAAAGTATATAATTGAGTATTGCATAGGCATAGTTTATGCTGTATAAAACATAAATAACAGGTAATGGATGGGTTGGTGTGCTTGACAGAAGAATAAAAAAGAAGTTGAAGGCATTGATGAGTTGCATTGAGTAACAATTTTCTTTTCTTTTTTTTTCTGAAGAAAATAAAATAAAATGAGAAAAAATATGTTTTGTTTCTCAAAATAACAAATTTCGTTAAGTTCCAGCAGTACAGCATGAGAGGTCAAGTCATGAAAATGTTACAAGCTTCGCTCCGAGTAAAAGTTACATAAACTATAGGTGCCGGGGGAGTGTTACGAGATAATAGTAGTGATTGATTTGGTGGGTTTTCGGTTAAGTTGGGCAAATGGCCTTTCGGTTAATGCTGAAATTTGTGGGCTTTATTTTGGTCTACAGCTTGCAGCAATCAAAAGTCTTTTAAGCCATTTGTGTGAGATGGATTCAATTATAGTGGTTAATTTAATTAACACTAGTATATAGGTCACACATAAAGTGTGTGTGGGATTTTTTTTTTTTTTAATTAGAGATATGTTAGATTACATGTAGATGAGACTTTGAAAAAAAAAACAGTAAAATTTGGTTATGTGAAATTACATATCTGCCCATATTTCTTATTCATGTTCTGTTTTAATTAGATGGTTAAACTTGTAATTTCATAGGGTTTTGGTTGACAATAAGTGTTTTATTAATTAGTATAGATTAGTATTTGCCTACACATTTTGTGTGTATGAACACATTTTTTAGAAAATGAGGAGAGAGGGATAGAGAGAGAACGCAGGGGGAGTGGAAGGTTTTTGTTTTTTTTTTTTTAATTTTAATATTGGAGGTATTTTAACATTACCTGCAGGTAAGACTTTAATAAAAAAAAGTAAAATGTGGACCTGTGAAATTACATTATTGCCCATCATTTTTTTTGTGTGATAGAAGATTAAGTAGCTATTTTTACCTTCTTTTGGTTGACAAAGAGGGTTTCATTAATTAATAGAGATTATAACTAATGTCAGCTTTCATTCTCTTACTAACATCATTGATAAATGGATACAATTTATGGTTCGCATAACGGATTGTGAGTTTGTTCATGTCTACTAAAAGAAGAATGTTGTGGCGAACAGCCTCACCAATTGGAGTTATAATATGAATTTTAGGTACCATTATTTTGAGAATTCACCTGAATGGATTGGAACTCATTTATTTGGTGATATGATCAGTCTCTAGGAGTCGAATTGTGTGTAATAATTTATTGAGTTAGTTTTGGGGTGATCGACCCCCTTATGTTGCAGGGAAAAAAAAAAAAGGTTTTGAATTCGACTCTTATGTATGACGAATTTGATAAAAATAATATGATCGATTTATTGTATGACTGAGTCCAAATATCTCACTCCTTAATTAGTATAAATCTATCGTTGTATACAAAATCACATTTTAATTATTTTCGTTATTTCGAGTGTTTGTATTTTCCGCTTGCATTATTGCATTATTGATAAATATATTCCGATTCAAAGATGCTAGATGTTGCATATGTCACAAAAGAAGTTTTGGATTGTCATCGTCGTGGTCTCTCCTTTTCCAAGTAGACAAGGTTTCAACGCTCTTTTTATCCACTCCAATATTTGTGCAAATTTATTTCGATTGCTAAAGGGCCCAAAAGCAACAAGTGTCCATGTGCACCCATTCGTGACAACAAAAGCGACATGTGAGGGGCCCTTCAACGTCTAAGTTTCAACAAAGTTAACTCTTACGAAGCCAACAAAATAAAGTTTCAAAGCAACTAATACCCCATTCGAATTCCGTTTGAGACTTGCTTTTGAAAAGACTAAAAGTGTTGTTTTACAACTAAAGTGGATTCTGAGTGTCTTTGATTAAAAAAAATAAAAAATTAGAAGTGTTTTTTGGTGCTAAATGCTTCTTTCGAGAAACACATTCAAGTACTTTTTTAAGGAAATATTTGAGTTTCGAATAAATATTTAAATGTGTTTATAATCAATTCACTTTAGCATAAACTCTTATGAGCAAAAGTGCTTCATACACATAGAATCACAAATGAACCCTTAAACAACACTTCGAAAAACATGTAATGAATTTATTATATGATAAATATATTTAGTGTGTCAATTACAGTTTTATTTGTTTTAAAAAATTTCAAATTTTGTCATTCAAAATTTCATTTCGTAGTTAGAAAATACTTTAAGTGTCGTTTTGAGTTCGGAACACTCCTTGGTAAAATCTTTTAAACGCAAGTACTCCTCCATGGGCGATTGGGGCGCGGACATACGGGTCTTTGATTTATTACACTATCAATAATTCGGTTCATTTTGCCTTGCTCTAGCCTTTTTGTGGGGTTATTGATTTTTAAAGTGTGAGAAATTTCCACGAACCTACACTATAAATATTTTTTACAGCAGTGCAAGAAACTTCAGCTATGAAAAAAATACTGAAACTTTGGAAATCCAAAAAATCATAACCCTATCTGAAGATTGTGGACCATAAAATGGATGATCTTAGCCATTGGGACCCTGCAGGCTGCCCTGCAAATATCATCTTAAGCGGATGATCAATGATTATTGATAGGACTTGCCATTAATGTTTGGCTCATTTTTCTCTGATATTTCTTAATATATATTATTCACTGAATTCCGTTTGCATTTTATTTATTTTTTATTACTATGTTGATTGATGATGAATGATGAGTAAATTTTTTTTTTTTCTTAAAGAAGAATGATTTGGCGAGATTAGCTTTTGGCAATAATGCATGACACTTATTCTCCTTTCAAAAGGATAAGGACCATTACACTCAGAAACCTCCCGCCTGTCCTTTCTCCACCATTTTCATTGATAATAAATGAAAGTAAACTAAAAAGATACAAGAGAAGACTAGGCCAATACCTGGAAAAATAAAAACGGTAATAATAACAAAATGATATGTCACGAACATGAGCAGAAACTACAGAGTAAAACAAGGATAAGCAATTAAAAGATCAGTCAATTTTTACCCCTTGTCGTTTTGAACTTTATCATTCGCGTATGAATCAAGAAACCCCTGCGTTTCTTCTGTAGCAGCTTTTCACACAAAGTAAAACAAGCAAAACCCAAAATCCAGCCCTCCCCTCTCACCCATCTCTCTCACCCAGTCAGCTCCAGTCAGCTCTCAAGTTATCCAAGGTGAAAGAATATTCTTAGCTGTCCCTCTTGTGGCTAAAACTTCGATAGGGCAACCTGATCACTTAAATGGTTAAACGCTCTCATAAGAAAAAGTTTCTCTCTGTATTTGGGTACCATCCGCCCTCGTGTAGGTACTACTTTGAAATTTCGAATGTTGCCTATGAATTTCGGTATTATCCGGCCTTGTATGGGTACTACTTCCCAAAGCACGCAGTCTCAACCCAGTAAGAGTGGCTTGATCAAATTCAAGATGCTCTAATAAAAATTTTCTACTTGAATAGGCCCGTTTGGCAGGTTGAATGAGATTTACGATTGGATTGGCAGAAACTTGTAAGACAAGGCTTATAAATCATGTATAAAGATAGGGGTGTAATATCCACACATCCCATTTTACTTTTCAACACACCTTTTTAATTTTGGCCATTGGATCGGATAAATTAAAGAAGGCCAACAGACAAAAATTATCAAAAAATATGTGAGAAGTAAAATGGGGTGTGTGGATAGCACACCCATAAAGATAAGTTAGATAATCCACTCTATTGTGCATGCATAACTCATCATGTCCAAACCTGTCTATCTTACATTTTAACACAACAAACAACAAAATGAACTCAAGTCCATTTTAATTGGTTACAACATATCCCATCTAGCCGACCAAACGGGTCTAACTCTCGTTTTGCTCAACTACTGAGATCACAAGTCAGTGAAGGAGGAGATTATTAGGTATTCGCAATTGTATATCTCTTTGTGTTTATCTCTTTCGTTGCAGGATTTAGAAATAAGCTACTCATCAACTTAGACCAATACAGAGCCAAACATAAATAAGTGGAACGTAAGTGAATGGAAATTCAAAAAAAAATACATGATGTGAAAAGTATGTGAATCAATTAGGCATTGCAGCCAAGCAACTTCAACTACAATTACACTAAAGAGCTCATGACACAAGCTTTCACCTTCACTCAACTTCTTTACAGATAC